CTGGGCCTAATACAGACATGTACACAGACTCACACTATATATAATTTGGGAGAGAGAGGTAGAGGAACAGGTATAATACTGTATATTTATGTTAGAAGATCACTGTCCATTCTTTGGGAAATCAATAAACAAAACTTGTATATGTGAATACTTATCTTTACTGTTCCATGCTTGGTTTGGTTTCGTTTGCTTTACGGTATATCAACACCTCAATGGGTTATTTAATGCCGACAAAATTTTTTATTGCTGGTAATATTTTGTTTTGTCAAAAATCTATTTCTGGTAATATTTTTTTTAAAAAACTATGTTGCTGGCATTATTTTTTTTTTTTCAAAAATTTATTTCTGGTATTAAAACCTATTTTTACACTTTCATAGTGTTTTTACCCCAGTTTTGGGGTTAACTATTTGCCCATAACTGGGACCCTAACAGGTGCTACCACCCCAGGTCAGGGTGGACCTGGGAACACCAGCAATTAATAGGTGGTTCCATGCTCCTCAAAATCTCCTGATCAGAGGACTTGCTGTTGGACGTAGTTTATCGTCATACCCAGGATGGTCCATACTTGGAGATTAAAAAAGTACATATACTCAAAATACACAGAACAGAATGAGTAACCCGTGTGTGTGTGTGTGTGTGTGTGTGTATATATATATATATATATGTATGTTTTGTACTTTTTGGTTTTAAATAAACTAACAAGAAATCTACAATTTTTATCTCAAACTTCAAAAACATTTTCTTTTTTTAACAATGCAATAAGTCACTCAGTCATATAGACTACTAAAGATTATAGGACCATAATTCTCAACATGCTAGACATAGCTGCTGCAGTTTCCATAACAACTTTTTTTTTTTAGGGAATGGAGTTAGTGACCTGATGCCCAAACTGGTTTTAAATTCCGATTTGTCTGAAGAGTCCTGTCACCCCTACTATTTAATCTATAGTTTGGAGAGGGGGATAAGTGAATTCATACTTTTCCCAAGGGTAGTTGCACAAAAGTCAATTTAATAAACTTTACTGGAATTTGAACTCAGCATGCTGATTTCTTGTTCCAAGCCACCAACCATTACATTACCTATACATCCACAAATAAAAGGTTACTGAAATAATTTCCCACCTTCTACATTTTTCAAATTTCAAAGTAATTCTTAATTAACCACAAGGTTCAATTAAGATGAACCATAATTAATACCATTATTTTTATTGTCAATTACATAAATTTTATCAACTGAGAATTTGAGAATAACAGATTTACTTTAGATGAAGCCTTTTAGGTCAGTTATGGGCCACATGCACCAGGGATTGGCTTTCTGAATGCCATGCCTAATTTCATGAGAAAAATAACATTTTTTAAAATGGTGTTGGTTTCCTTTCATTCTCATTTGTTCACTTACATGTTCGCATGCATAACCATATACATAAAGAATGATTCAGTCCAATATTTCATGAAAATTTTGGTTGAAGGTGAGGTTGTCAGCATTTTAAATCATTGGCAATTTTCACTAAGGAAGATCATATGTGTAAACATCTTTATGCTTCAGAAACAGGAAATGTCAATAATTATTTTCTCTAGAGAATAAATATACTTTTGCAAATATCTTTATACAGTTAAATGAATAAATTAGAAACAAATCACACGCAGCAGGTGTATGTTAATCAGTCATCAGGGATAATATTAGACCAAGACTTTTTTTTTTTTTTTTTTTTTACTTAAAAGGAATCTTTTCTCCAAAGAAAGAAAATCAACATTTCTCCCCCATTTATATGGCAGATGTTTATGCATATGCTCTTTTGCTGGGAAAATGGCTGCAGTATCTTTAATAAAAAAAAAGATACCTTTTTTTAGTAATGCAACACGTCTTATGACGTACTACTGTACCTCATCCACCCAATGTCTGAAAAAGGTTGACCATGTCTACTTTAGGTCTTAGTAAGGACCATTCTTCTTTGAACTCTGGACTGGCATTACAGAATGACTAAGAATTGTACCAAATAACAACAAACCACATCACATGAGGATTTTCAACAACAGCAATGACTAAAATGAAAAGCATATATAATTTGAAGAGAAAATAATGACATAATCAAGATGATAATCTATAGTGCTACAAACAAAATCACCCCCACCTAAGCAATACTGGAAACAGTGACTTGAGAAAACCTATTTTTCTGGGAAATTATCCTAATAGAAAGATTTTATCAGATGAACTGATAGTTTCACAGGTTGGTCAGTCAATGAATGCTGAATGTTTCCTTATAAGGAAATGGCTAATTTTACCATTACATTAAAAACAACTGTTTTTCTCATTGAAATCACCCCCGACCCCACACACACACTCTCAAATATGTCATTGTTGACTTTCTTATATGAAATAAATTTTTTAATAGTATTTCTTATCTACATAAAGTGCAAATGACTTAACAGTTCATATCCCTAGAAATGGGATCAGCAGAGTTCAAACTCCAGCTGGGGTAGTTTGTGTTTACTTAGTCATAATGCTCTTGATAAAGTTCTCTCCCACCATCTGTGGGTAAATAATACAATTGAAATCATTTAGCCTTGTTTGAGCAGTCTATAGTGTGTTAAGCAAGCAGCCAAGCCCTGTAAAATCTTACTTGCTATTTTGACTACAGCAGCATCAGTTGGTTGTGGCCTTTCCTATGTGCCACACAGAGTATACACAAAGAATTTCTTTCACCTTAATTTCTATTGCTTTTTGTCATAATTTGTAGATTGCTAACTTACAATCATAGAATGTGAATTTGACATTATTATAATAATAAATGACAAAAATCAAAGAAATATATCAAACTGATACATCAAGTGATAGTCATGAAAAGTTCAAGAAATGACAAGCTTCACTGATTAAAAAGAAAATATTTTAGTCAAAAGAATTAAAAATAAATGAAATCATCTAAAACAGGAAATCATTTATGACATTAACAGCAGTAAAAAGGAATTTATTCAAGACATTTCAAGTATCAAGTATTTCCAGTTGGAAAAGCAGCAAAACAATCTTCAGTAATGACATTCTTGATGAGAACTGTATTCTTTCATTTTAATTTATTTATTTTTTTTAACGCAAAAGACAGATTACATTATCTCTGCCTATTTCTATTTTGCTCATTTAAAAATAGCACTTGTAAATCTAAGACTATCCCAGGTAAAAAACATTAATTCATTGCCATAAAATAATGATTCCTATGAGACAAAAAGAAAAAAAGGAATTAAATAAATATTAACAGTTGTTTAAAATAAATATTCTGAGAATTTTTAGCTGCACAAGATTTGAAATGGATCCTTTGTTTGACCAATAGGAACTGTTTTTACTCTTAACAATTATGTGTTGGAGTATGAGGGGGATATGAAAAAGTTCTCAGATGAACCTAGTATTAGAAATTAGATATCTTTTAATAACTTCTTGGTTGGGACTTCTCAGAATCCATTTGTTTGCAAAGTTGGATCAATAGTTGATTTAAAAAAAAAACAATACCTGAAGTTCATTTACAGATTAAAACAGAGGATTCAAATTTTGAAGTAATTAAATTTGAACAGTGTACAAATGACATAATAATTATCAGAACTGGTAGGAAGAGTTCAAATTCTAGCCAAGTTTACTTTGCACTCCCTGCTAATTTTTTTGCCTTGCTAGGGCAACCAATCTAAGAGAATATATGTTATTCTGAATTCTGACAGACATGAGAAAAGGCCTGAGAGAGGAACTAATTTCAGATGACCATATTAAAACCTAGCACTATTGATTTTCAAAGTAGAATTATTAAAAAACACCTTGAGGAATAAGGCTGTAATTGGCTTTTTGAAATTTTTTACATTCTAAAATCTTCAAAATCTAAAATCTTCACAAATTATTATATACTAACTGAAGTATTATCCATTTCGCTTATCAAAGGCTTAAATAAGAAAGTCATTGATATTCAGAACATAAAACAATTACTTGATTACTTATTTTAGTGCATCATTTTACTTATAATTATTACAACATGACACAAACAATAGTCTGTGCACTATTAGACTGTTCTGAATTCTGACAGACATAAGAAAAGGTTTGAATCCTACAGTGGACAGTGAAAATGATAAAAATAAAGGATTATATTTATTAAGATCCCACCAATTATAAGTGAAATGTCTACTTGATTAAAATTATTTCTGACAATAATGGCCCCAAAATGTCATTTTGCATTGATGAAAAAACAAAAATAACTGAAAAGAATTTGGTTTAAGATATCTAGGTTTCTTGCACTGGGTGACAAAGAACAATTGGCTAAGTCAAGAAAAAAAGAAAAAGAAATGTCAGTTTTTCCAAAATTAATACGCAATAAATAGTGATTTGTGCAAAAAGTACATGACCAAGACAGCAGGGAAGTTTTTCATTTTCTTCTCACATATAAATGTAACAAGCCTTCCTGTCACATGAACTGAAGTGTAAATAGTATTAAGTATCATTTCTTTCGTTCTAACGGTCATTTAGACTATTGATCTAATTCTTTTCTGTTGCTTTTCATAGCCTCTTTTTTTTCCCAGTATACAATCACTGTGAAAATACATTCTGTATTACTGAGATAAAGAATTATCATTCCAAGTGTTGTTCCATTTCTTTTTGTTGTTACCCTGATATTTTAACCAATTCTTTCCCCAACCTACATCAGTTGTATATTCCATTTGTTTGGTTCGGTTGATTTTGTTTAGCAGCATATCAACTTGTGTGGGTTATTTAATGTCAAAATCTAATTATTTTGAATGCAATTACATGCCTTCGACTACAGATAAAATGTATTGTTGGTAATTCTATTATAAAATGTATAGCTAGTCACCGCCATAAGTCAAGGTGGACCTGGGAACAACAGCAATTAAGGTGGTTCTAGAGGCCTTGCTGCTGGATGTAGTTTATTGTCATACCCACATTCCATTTGTAAAAGACAAGCTGTTATTTTTCAAATAGTGGCAACAGATTGTACACCTGAAAAAGATCATGGCTTATGGCCATATCATGTTGAAACATCAGTTCTTGTACAATCACTGAAGTTAAGCAATGTCAAGTCTGGTCAGTACCTAGATGGGTGACTGCATGAGAATACCAGGTACTGTAAGTTTGGATGTGCTAGTGGTGTAATGGCTAACTGATCCAAATTGGAAATTGGAGAGCCAAGTTCTAATTCCTATCAGGTTCATTATATTCAATTACGCACAAATACCCTTGGGAAAGATATGAATAAACTTCTCCCAGTTACTGGTTAATTAGTAAAACTGGTATTGATAAGTCTCAGAATGGTAATGACTCATCCCAAAATTACAGAATATATTTCCTTTCAGAGAGAAAAATACTTGGCAAAGTTTGACATTTGTACCTGCAAAAGAATGGTGTGTCAAAAGAACTGTTTTCGCTTGACACTGCTTATACAATATATTCTCATAGCAAGTTTTATTGTTTATTTTGAATTTTAATAAAACCCAAACATATTCACTTTTTGCTCAAGAGCTGATAACAAGAATATTAGACACTATACTTGTTATTAAACAGTCTAATAAAGAAATATTCTAAATATTTTTGTAACCAATTCTTCAGAAGGAAAACGTATAAATCCATATGCTTGCAAACCATATTAGTGAGAGCCAATTTATGTGATGAGAGCATATGAAAAAACTGCCCAGAAAATGCATTTCTTTAAAATTTTATAATTAATTATTCATGGGTATGTGTTTATAATATAAATATTGCATTGCCATTGGTTCACATATTTTATAAACTTGCAGATACAAAATTATTTTTTGAAATAAACAATCTATTTTTATTGTTAATCAATTCTTGCAAAAAAAAAAAAAAAAAAAAAAAAAAAAAGAAAGGAAAAAATAGGAGCATGCATAAATTCAGTTTTATACGTTTGGGTTTTATTAAATATTCGAAAAAAATTTTTATAAAACAATAAAAATTGTGAGGGAGTATAGTTATAGAAGTGTGTCTAGAAAAAAAGCAACAAAAAACCAAAAAGAAACAAGCAAAAGAACATCCTTTTGACAATTTTTTTCAGGTATGTTTGTTAAAGTTTGACAAATACTTTGTCAAAAATAGCATGAAAATAAATTCTAATTTAATTGTAAATAACCCAACTTTTATTATTTGCATATGTAAACTAGACAACCTTAGTATGGAGATAAAAACAAAGGTTACATAGACTTTAACATATGTAATGTTATCTTATATTACAAATAAAAACAAAACTGAACCTCTTGTATATAACATTTAAATTATTTCATTCAGGTAGTGGAAATCTTTAGAGCTTTCTTCAAATGCACTACCTTCAATCTTGCAATGATGTAAGAAACTGTCCCTCTCAGGTGGGTGTTTATATATTTTTTAATTAATGCTCATTCAATACAAGGCCCAAGAGCCATTCAAATTATAGGGTTATTGAATGATGTTGGATAAACATAAGAGGAGGAGGTAAGAAGTGAAGTTTATGAGGTTATGTAGGTGAGATGACAGTTAACCAGAGACTTGTTAACATTAGTGATTGGGAAAATATCTTTTCAGGAATCTGTTCAACAAAGTAGCAGTTTTTAGGAAGAAACTGTCTGCTTGTCATCAGTCTCCCCCACCCCCACACGTGCATATGCTAGTCACAGTTAAGTTAACCAGTATTAAGGTTTTGGGGTCAGCCACTGACATCCTCTGAGGTGCAGATATGCACTTGGTTGCTAGGAGGTCATCCCCTACGTAAACCCATTGCTGCATTTGGCTTCTGACAACACACTAACTGCCGACTATATTCGGTCATTTTGAGTGAGCCACATGCAACACAGTGAAAACATCATTTTGTTATTGCTTGCTTTTATATTTTATGATATTTTTAAAAAAGAGCTTACAAGAACAACAATGAAAAAAAGGTCTGAATTACTAGAATTTATTCAAGTTTAACACAAAATCATATTTATACAGAATTAGAAATTGAATGGTTTACAAGACTAACACATCTTAATGAACAGATATTTACAAAAGTAGAAAGTACTCAATGAGTACATAGCTCTGCCAACAGTATCATCACTAAAAATTGAAGAAGCAAGTTGCAAATCCAACTATACCATGACAAAGCTTTTAATAATTACCATAATTATTTGTAATAAAGCTTTTAATAAATCAACATGACAGAATTACATAACATTTCTATTATGATCATGACATCATGATTAAGGTATTGTGTCTTATAAAACTCGATAGTCTGGCTCTAAAAACAATAATAATAATAATATAAAAATTATCTTTGTTTTACAACCACTGTTGCTCCTGGACACAATGAGACAATGAGTCAGTATTTAAATCATTACATATGCCAAATTCCTCTTAATTGTCAGTATACAGTAAATAAAGATTCAATGTCTATGCAGAGAGTTTTTACTATATTGTCATGATCATCCCTTGGAGGTAAAGCATTTCAAATTGTTTGCATTCTAGATCTTGCATTTGTATTTCTCCTATTGGAATATTATCTTGACATTACTTAACAAAAGAACTTTCTACACAGACCCACACTGACTATATGTATTCACTACACACATCTCTACCTTCATAACTGACTCGAGTCACGAGCAACACTTATGTCAACTTATTTAAAATGTTGTACACTATTTTGTTACAATGTGTCCCTCAGGATGGTGATCATGGTTCTCCACAATTTCCTGTCCTTTGTAGAACTTAGTAAATTCAGTCTTATTGTTATTTCTCTTAAACTCTGTTCTGTCATTCATTTACACAAGCTATCTAAACTGGTCAACTCATAAAATAGAGAAAATTTTTGTAGATTAGCAAACTTCTTTGGGCAGTGACACTTGTCAGAATGGAAAATATTGATTTGTTAATGTTTTAGAAGAGACGGGGAGGATCCAGTTTACAATATTTATACAGTGGCAAATCTATCCCTGCCTTTTATAGAGTTATTGGCTTTTGGATAAGTCACTTAGTCATTATTTAAAAATGTCAAGTTTGAAAATGGTCTAACGTTATTGGTATCTGCATATGCTCTTAAAACCTTTTTTTGTATAGGATTTTTTCAGAAACACATTCACAAACAGTTGCAATTAATTTCTAGCTGTACCTTCCAGTTTTTATAACACTGACTTTTTAAATTAAATTATAATCATAAGTACCATTTACAGGCAGTCATGACTGACATCAGAAATAAGTTACTTGTGCATGTTTCTTTGCAATTTTAATTACTCATGTGAAAATACTTTTTGACAGGGAGTTCTTAAACATCAAGTGGAGGAGAGGAGGGGCCAGAAAAATATATTTACCTCTCCAAAAATATTTACAACAGCTATCACTTCTAAATATCTATTTTCTATATATATATATATATATATAAGTAAAAATATAAACAACATTAGTGGTCAATATATATATATATATATATATATATAAATAAATAAATATTAATGGTCAATATATATATTTCCAAGAGGATAGAATCTAGGTAGAACTCATATGTACATATAAATTAGTTTTTCAATAGTTAATTTCAAGGAAAACAGTCACAACTATAACAGTGTATCTTCATGTTGTGTCCTTTGGTGCAAAGATGCAGCGGAACATACTGTTTCAGAATAAAAGGGAAAACTTAACATTATACTGTTAATCTTTATCTTGAAACAGAACAAAGACAATATGGACAACTCTACATCATTGACGAAGCTACAAGTACAAGAATGGCTGCACCACCAAACAGCCATCATACATGATGTCATTAGTAACTGCAATCTTTATGCTGAAGCATACAAAAATAGGTACTCATGAGTAAAATAAATTCAAATAATTTTAAACAGGAACCAACCAGATTTTTAAATGAATCAATTATAAATTAAATAATAAATTCAAATATGTAACTGCAATTTTAAAAAATAAATAAAAATCAATTACAATTTAAATATCAAATGAAGTAAAATGTCTAAAGAACAATTCTTTATAAAGTCTGTTAGTTTTGATTTTCATCAGAATTCAAATTGATATGCTTTAATTACATTTTAATTAAAATAAGGGGCAAAGTAAATTGCTCAGCAAGGGTTATAGATGTTTAGACAGAGGATATTAGGCATATCTCAAACTTAGTTTTATACAAAGGGTTGCTTATTCAATATATTGCACAACTGAGGTTCTTGAGAATCTTTTAAGGTCTGACTTTATATGAATAAAAACTCAAAACAGGTAGATAGCATCGTATAGTATAGTATACCATACTATATGTAGAGAAGGTAGACAAACATAGTGGTCTTAAATAAAGATTTTATTCACAAAATAACCCAGAATAAGGTTAATCTCTAAAAAGCATAAAATTGATAAATGGTCAATTTCTGTTGAGTACTTCAGGAGTTTAAACATCTGCTCTGTTTGCAATAGAGATTTATATGAAAGCCATCCCCTGGGAAGTAGGCATCCTCTAAAATCAGTTCCTGACACTGCTACAGTTATAGGTTCCTAGTATCCGATAAGACCCAACTTTATATGAAGGAACCCTTCAGAAGGGTGTTTTTTAAAATTTGTGCCAAAAATGTACACAAACAACATGAAGATAGATTATGACTAATTAAAGAATAAAGAAAATGTGTAATTAAATAAAATAAATTAATATGGTTTAATAATGTATGTGTTTACTTGCTTGTTACAAGTTTTTTTTATAATTTTAACAACTGCATATGTTTTAATTAATAAATCTGCATCGTTAACTTGCTCTTTAGAGTTTTGATAGCAATTTGTACTAGAAACTTTATTTTAATCTTATGCTTACCAGTCTGAATAAATTGATTTAATTTTGTTTTAATTAATAAATTAAATTTGAATAAATAAATTCAAATACTGAAAGGCATAACATTAGACACAGAGAGACAGCGACAGAGACAGAGAGAGACAGCGACAGAGAGAGAGACAGAGAGAGAGAGACAGAGAGAGAGAGACAGAGAGAGAGAGACAGAGAGAGAGAGCGACAGACACAGACACAGAGAGAGAGAGAGACAGCGACAGACACAGAGAGAGAGACAGAGACAGACAGCCAAAGAGAGACACACAGAGAGAGAGAGAGAGAGAGAGAGACAGCGACAGACA